CCTCTTGTGGCTTTTGAGAGAGGCAATGCAGCATGGGGTTAAGGATGAAGGCTCTCGAGTGGAAGCCTGCGTGAGGACTGCATCTTCCAAATTCTGTGGCCTCGTTTATACTCCTGGTTCCTCCTTGTCTATAACCTGTGATTAATATCAGTGCCCATCTATGGGCTTCTGCATGTGAAGGGCTTAGACCACATTGTAAGCACCCTGATAAACATTCATTTTTATTATCTGTTAGGTTTCCTAAGCATAATAGTTCCTTCAGGAAATCCTGGCACACTTATTATAGAAGCAGAGTGTAGAATCATTCACTCTCCAATTCCAGTTCTTATCCTTTCTTCTCTAATTCAAACCCCATGCAAAGCTACTGGCACTCATATCCTTTAAAATATGATAGACTAGATTTGGTTACATTTAAAAATGGTAGTAACTTCACGAATATTTGCTCTTCTAAAAAAGCTAAATCTAAATTATTTTCTGTGATTCAAATTCTTCTTAAGGGTTCATGTTGTGGGTTTTAGTAAGTGATGGTTAAAGGATACCAAAAATAATCAAGAAAAAAATTAGTGACAAAATAAATAAACACACACTGTCATTTAGAGATTGCTATTACATGCCAGTCATTGTGTTAAGTACTTTTTATGGATTAATGTAGTTTACAAATGATTCTGTGGTTATTTATTATCTCATTTGATGGTGTATGATTATAGCAGAGGAAATGCAATCCTGTTTTCTTTCTGCCACTCCCTGTGGAAACTAGTCGTGCTCTGTATTGATCCTTATTTGCGTGTGACGGGACACTGCCCTCTGAAAGAGAGCACAAGGTCTTGGAAGGTGGGTGGTGCCATACATTGAACGTGTTTCTCCATCCATCAGGGCAACTCGTTTCAGCTCTATGAATATAGTAAATACTTGAATAAAGACATACTTTCAAATGTTCTAACAGTCACTATTTAAGATATGTTTGCAAAAAGGTAGTGTAAGGATTAAGGATCAAAAGCAAAAACCTGAGCACCTTGATTTAATCACTTGTATATTTACTGGAATGTGCTTTTTTTTAAAGCTTTCAGCTTTTTCTTACACAGCATAGATGTTGACAAAAACCCTGTTTTCCATCTGTATATAAGTCAACTTAGAAACAAAACCTGAAAAAAAATGTTTGTTCTGGAATGTTTTAAAAAATGGTACAAGTTGAGAATTCAAGGCTGTTTATATTGCATCTTAAATACATTTCTGTGTGCTACATATCTTTTTAAGACTACTTTTTTTTTTTTTTTTTTTTTTTGCCTTGACAACAGTAGTCATTTTATGGTTAGCATAGGTGGGCAATTCTCTTTGCAAATTTGATTTGTTTTAACTATTTTTATTGTTCCCCTTTTCTTATAAAACAGAGATTCATAATATTTCTTGTGCCTTTGTTTTTGTTTTTGATATGCTTTTCCAAAGTATGTTGCTCAGAACAGTAATTTAATTAGATAGCCCTCAAGAATGAACCCTATAGTCAAATATGTTTTGGAAAATGCTTCATGGAATATGCATTTAGGAGGTTCACAGCATATATTAAAATAAAAAGATTTATGTATGTATTTGAGAAGAATAAAATTTATAAGTTCTCAAGTAAAGGAACATTAAATTTTGCCTTATCAAGCATTTCCTAACGTTTTTTGATCTCAGATTACTCTCCTCTCCCCCATACCTAGGGATGATACTTAAAATATTTAACAGCCAATACATTGGCTCAACTGTCTGTCTCTCATCTGCTCTTTCAGAGCCCAGATCCCTAGGGGGGCTGCAGTTCCCACCATTGACCATGCAAGCATAACTGGAAGCATCTGTTAGCTGGGAAGGGGAGTTTGCAGATGGGCCCTGGGAATTGCTTTCCAGGGTGCAGTGCCTTCTCCAAGGTCACTGTCTCCTCCACTGGGCCTCAGGCTGATTGGCATAGGCACTAACCAATCAGAGCAGGTGCTCCTCTTAGTGCTGAGCAAATTTCTTGAGGACCTCTGCTGTGCCCACCTTCAATCTTTTGGTTGCTGGACTGTGAGGAAATCTAGGAGGTCTCCAAGGGAGAGGCCATGGGGTAAGACTGGCAGAAGTGCTACTCGGAGAACTTAGCGCAGTAACTATTTACCAACTGGTCTGCAAATATTAAATATTTTCACTTCTGTACCCTTGAATCAATGTATCCTGGCTGTTAGTATTACCCATGATGCATGTAGCACTATCTAATTCTAATTTTGTGGGACAACTTTGAACAACTGCTAGTCTGTGCTGTTTTGGGCATGTGGAAATGCATAATTTTTTCTCTCTCTGTTAATTGTTACAATGCCATAATGTTTAAACACGTAGCTCTGCTGGAATTGAGAATTAAATTTTGATTCAGTTGCTGAGCTTTGAAAAATCAAGGGGCAAGAGACAGCATTAAACAATGGTGGCAGACACCTTGAAGGATCTGGACTGGTGATGTTATAATAAAGGGAAAGTATCCAATGACATACTGTAAGCTCTCTGAAAAGAAAGTTACTAATGTATGTCTGAGCTGGTCACTCTGTTGTCATCCTGTCACATTGAGATTTCAGCTAAACACACACACACACACACTACACACATACAAATGAGAGTGAGTCCATGTAGAATCCTCATGGAGTCATCCTCATTTGCCCTTGTAGAGTATACTTTTTTAATGTAAACATATTCATTAAATAGCTCAAGGATAAGTTGATAGAAATGATAAGAAACTAATTATTGCCCCCCTCTAGACTGGTTCCTACTTCTCTAGCCTCCATTCCTATTATCCCACTAGGAAAATTAAACCATTCTCTCATCGCCAACAGAGTCCTGCTGACGTCCACCTGTGGCCGGGCAGCATATGCCAGGGGAGCCGTATTTGCTCACCCTGTCCTCCTCCCGCTACCACCACCCGCCCCCAGTAGGTTTTGGCATCTATTTGTTGGTTCTTGAACTTGTGAGTATTGTTTAGAATAAAGATTAGAAAAAGTTATCTGATGAAAGGAGCTAGAGAAAGGCTAGTGAAATTTTGGAGACAAGCAAGTCTTAGGAAGGAGGGGACGTTGACCTAGGAGTGGGGGAAAAATATGTCAAACACCAAGATCCAACTGAGTGAAGAAAGAAGTCTCAGGTATTTCTTAGAGATCTGGAGGAAATTTCACATCAGCATGAGTTTGAGGGGGGAAAAAGATGAATATGGAAGGAGGATCTAAAGAAATTTGTGGTTTATGGATAAGATCTGTGAAAGTTTTGAATGCTCTTCAAATATTCTTGGCTATCAAACCACTGTTTGTTGGATTGGGATAGAGCGCAGGCTGGTCCAGAAGAAAACCAGTTATATATTTGGGTAACACAAGGTGCCCTCTAGTTCATGATGCTCTGCTCTGATTACTTCCCTTTCCTAAAATCCTACCCATTTTCCATTTTCAAGTGCAATAGTTCTTCAAGAAACTTTACATAATACCCCAATCTTCTCTGATTTGCAAAGTCACCTAAATTCTATAAAGTGTTGACTATTATCTAATTATATATAATTGATTATTTAATTTATAATATAATTAATTAATATAAATACACATACACACACACAAATTTTAGGGGGAAAAATGCCCTGGATCTCCTCCAACCAGATTAAATTCTTAATCCCTTAATTGCAGGATCATAAATTATGCAGCTTTCTTGCTCCAGTCCCTGGTCCAGGGTAGCTTCTTAATGCATGGTGATGAGGTTGTTAACACAGACTTCTAGTAGTCTCCATGGCCTGTAGGAATTTATACTTTTATCACTATCAGGAATGAATTAAAATGGTTACATTTTTTATTTCTGTTTAAACCAACTTTAATGTCTAAGCCTTGTTAATTCTTATCTATAGCATTGGACTAAACACATTATAGCCTTATATTTCTGCCTATCAAATAAAGCTGTGAGATTTTTGAGAGTGGGGGCAATGTGTTGTATCCTGGTACATAGCACAGAGTCTGGTACATTTTAGGAGTTCTACAGATGTAAATGAATGAATGGATGAATTGGGATCTCATATATGTAAAAAGAAGGCTAAGAGGAAATTGTATGTTTCCTTTAAATTGAAACAAACAAAATCAATGGAAAAACTGTGGTATAGAGTAAGTAACACAGGGCTTAGGATCAGAACACCTGGATTCAAATGTTAGCTGGCAATTTATCAGTTGTTTTCTTTGAATAGGTCACTTAGGTTCTGTCAACTACTTTCTTTAAATACAGATAATATTTCCTCCTGCACATGGTTGTAATGATGATCTAATGAGATTACAATTCTGAAATATGTAATAAACTTTGATAGAGATGGTGATTAAAGTCTATTGATTCAGTCAGAATTAATAAGTTATTAACCAAGGGCTAGATAAAGATGAGAGAATCTCCAAAAAAGATAGGTCAGTGCCAAGAAGTAATGTCCTCCCAACTCCAGGTTGCTTAACACCAGAAAAGGCCACTGAGTAAGGCTGTGAAATTTCCTTATTATTAAGATGTTTTCTTACTCTTAAATAATAGGAAAAGACTGAATGACCTTTGAAGGGACTGACCCACCATATATTCTATGACTCATGAAAGGAAACGCAGTTTGTAGATAAATCAGGAGAACCTGCTTTTCCACTGTGCCAAAGATAAAGCAAAAGTTTGAAAATGTCAAATCTACATAAAAACTCTTTATTTTTGTGGTCAATTCAAGAGACACCCTCATCTCTTAATCTTTTAAACTTAACCACATTCTTTATGCAGTGTAGGTACATTAAGGAGCAGTAAAGAGATGGAGTTTTAATTTTTACCAATTCAATTTAAATGCAAATGTTAACCACTCACATGATGCTACTGTGTACATAATTAAGCATCATTATATACTACATGAATCATCTAGAAACTTCCCGAGAGCCATGCTACTATGTAAAACATGCATTGTACTGACAAGCAGGCAAATGACGTATACTCCTGTCCTCATTAATTCTCCTTTTGAATTATAGGTCAACTGATTATGGAACCACTTATGAGAAGCTGAATGATAAAGTTGGTTTGAAAACAATTCTAAGCTATCTCTACGTGTGTCCCACCAACAAGCGTAAGGTAAGACATGTATATTCAGCATGCTGCTTATTCATGATGTGACTTCTGTCTTGGTGGGCCAACCTCTCTAGCTACATAAAAATCCATTACGGTCAAGCTGGGATTAGAGATGTAAAGACGAGTTGATGATGGAGGTTAAGGTGGTAAAATGTCTGAAACCTCATAATTCTCAGGGCAACAGCTGTGAACGTGGGAGGGTGAGAGGTAGGTATATCATTACCATTTCCGAAAGGCAGCTCCTAGGAATGGGTCTCCTTGAGTGGATGCTGTCTTGTAAAAGCTCGGACTAGTCGGTCACAAGAATCAGAATGAGCCTTGACAAGATGGAGGAAAAGGTGGGGTTTTCATCTGAAGTCTCCCTGTTTTCCCTTGACATGAGTAAATAGATTAACTAGAATTGGGATGAACGTGTCCTCCTGGTGCACATTGGATATCTCATTTATAAGGTTTATTCAGCCTGCACACAAATGTCGGGATGGAGACACTGCTGGAAGGAACCTTGGAGATCATCATATGCTGCAACCTCATTTTATAGATGAGAAAGGTGAAAGGTAATGCTTTGCCTCTTTGCAGAGTTATGGGTGCAGTTGGAACTAGGATTCAGGTCTCTTGGTTGGCAGTCATACTATTTCTGCTGTATTATACTGCTCCTGGTAAGAGGGTTTATCTCCTCTTCAGAGAGAAATATTATTTTCTCAAGGAAGGCAATATTTGCTTTTAAATGAGAAAGACTTGCTTGTCTTAGGAGAAGAGTGTCACTACATCCGTTCTTCAGTTTTTATAAACTTGCATTGTCAGATTCTGAATTCTGACATACAGTTTCTAAGTGTTGTGTGAATTGCATGAAATCACAGTATCCATCAGGAAAAAGTGTTGTTCATTAGTATGTACTAAGTCGTGTTCTTTTACGACAGTAGCAGTGATATCCAGGTTCTCCATTCAGATCTGTCAGTAGTTACTGTTAGTGATCTTGGGTAGGTATTTCATTTTGTTACCTGAACTCTGGGAGGTGGATGAGAACATCTCTGAATGGTCATTCCTTAACTCTGGCTGCACATCCAAAGCACTAGGTGATTCCCAAAGGTGCAAGCTTTCATCTCACCCCTGATATGACTGAAGAACTGGATTTTAAATCTAGTTTAACGATAATTAACTTAAATGTAAATAGCCACCTGTGGCTGATGGGCCCCAGTATTAGACAGAATAGCTCGATAATGTCAACCTCACAAATGTAGAGATACAAGCTTATACATTCCTGTCTTCCCCTTACTGACTAATTACTGGCCCATCATCAGCAATTACATTTAAACAATTTGACCTGCTGTTTAGAGTCCTAAATGGAAGAGCTGAACTTATACCCTTTAGTTTTATAATGCGATTTAGTTATGTTTGTTAGCTTTGAATCAATTCTTAAATTCCATATTGATTTTTTCCTCTAGTTTCACATTTTCAGTAAATTTCATTTAACAAATCAACAATCTGTAGGTATCATAGGATACAAAGAGAAATAAGTCAGCATTCCACCCTCAAAGGTCCTGTATCCTAGTCATAAATGCAATATGACTTTTTTGTCATTGAAAGGTCCTTTGACTCTGCTTCCACCTAACAGATGACTTTGTGTGAGACATTTACATTTTCCCATTTGTAAAGTGATAGATACAAAAACGAAGGAATTTACAGCTGGAAGAGACCTTAAAATTGTTCTTAGAATTGTTCTAAGTTAGTGATAGTCTTTGTTTTATTGATGGTGTTAGAGAGGAATATGATAAAAAAAAAAAAAGTAAGATGCCAAATAGTGAATAGTGAGCATAGGATTTTCTGTAGCAGCAGAATATGTGACTCCAAGATGGTTTGCAGGAGCAGAGCTTGAAACGTGAGACTCTCAAGTCCAAAAGCAGCTCCTAAGATGGGCAGGAAAGCTTAGAGGGAACACAGCAAGGAGCCCCATCTTCTAACCCATTCACGCCAGGGTACCAGCACCATGGCCCTGCATACTTAGTCTGTAGTCATCTGCAAGACTTTGAAAAGTCACTGGCCATGGCATTTGGTGAAGATTAAAGCTTGGCAGACCCTATCTCCACAGAAAGAGAAGTCCTTGTCCATGACTATTAGAGAACAGCTTTTTCTGGGCCTTTTGCCTTCCAGAAACAGAGGCGGACCTGAGCTGTTTAAATCACAGTGTTTATGGGTGAATCTAAGCGGCGGGATCTTTTCTTGTACAGATAAATGAGGCCTTCAGGGTCACTTTCTGAGATGCTGATAGACTTAAGAAATATTGGAGGACGATGAAGGTCTTTACAATGGTGCAAAAATCAATAAAGGTGACATAGCAGTATATTTGTGTATAGTTTTTCTACTTATGAGGTGAATTTATCACCATGAAATATGTACTTTCTGCCCCCAAAGGGACTTACTTGAACCAAAGAGATAGTACCTATACAACATTTTAAAGTGTGAGTATATTTGCCCCCAATCAATGAGAGTTTATGTAAAAGAAAAGAAAGAAAGAAAGAAAAAGCAAAAAAGAAGAAGAAAAAAGAAAGAGATATCAGGCTCTCTTAATTATACAGGACAAAGGCACTCAAGTTCACTGCAATTCTCCTAAGACTTGTGCATCCTCCAGTGAAAAGGCAGGCTCCCTTTCTAGGGTTGTATTAATTCTTTTCTGTCCCTAGGGTGCTATCTAGCAAGTTAACATCTTTTGTACCAGATATGTCTCTCTGCTTTTCACATCAGTGGGAGCAACTGGAATAAAACTGACATCAGGGAAACTGCCTTGCCTTCCCAGAAACCTGTTTTGCCTTCACATGCTTATTGCTATTTTTAGCTGCTTGTGAGGACAAGCTCGGTTCTTCAATCAACGTGTTCCCAACAGCGGGCATCATGCCCTGGCTTTGCAGACAGCTTGTTAGGGGCATTACTGGGATCAGAGTCCAGAACAAAACTGGCCCTTATTTACAGTTTAAATTAATGATCATCCATTGGCTGTTTCTTCGCAAGCCTGCTGTAAATGACAGCAGCTTTCCTTGGATATGTCTGTTACAGTAAAAACTGTAATCTCATTGTAGGTCAGTCTAGGAAATCTTGACTAAGAGACATAGAAAGCCTACTCCCAGGATTATCCTAGCTCATACATACCCTCTTTCAGCAGAGCCCTGCACCTGGCCTCTGATAGATGAGGTAGGCCTCCAAGAACAAGCATAAGTCAATCCTCTCCCCAGAGGAGAGGCAGGGTAGCTATCTGTCACCATGTCTCCAAAGGAGACCACTCCCCAACCCAGTCCATGATAAATCCCAAGGCTCGTTGGCGTCAGCAGTGCTTTATTGGCTACATACATACAATCTTCTATGAGAAAGGATGATTTAACATGCACCTGGAATGAGCAGCTGGGATGTGGAGGATCGTGATGGAAAGAACTAATATAAATGTAACAAAGAAAAACAAAATCAGTGCTGAAATCTTAGTCTCAATCTTAAATTCTCACTGAGTTTATTTGTAGTCTGCCTAAAAAGAAAACTTCTTGATACTATGAGTGTATCTGTCAGCAATACCTTTCCTCTCACCCCCAATCAACCTTAGCTGCTCTCTCTTCACGAGGTGTGCTATAACATCTTCAAGGATTAAAGAATACAAAATCCCAAGTGGAATACACTGGGGGAGAAAAGAAAAAAAAAAAGTGTTTTGTTTTTAAACTTGGAGCATCCAATTCATTTCATTGTTACATCCTTGTACCCTCCATGCCTTGTGTTCTCAGCAAAGAAGAACCCTAGAGAGTATTTGCTCTTTATATTTCCTGTGCCCCTCCATACCCCAGTTTCTTCTCCTTTCTGTGTTATCACCACTTAATTAATACTATTCCTGCTGAGAGAGGCTTCCAAGACTTTCATCCTATAAATAGGCCCCCAGCTCCTCAGACGCATTGATCATTTTTGCAGGTCCCTCGGTACATGCCAGCATTAAACACTGTTTGCATTTTCTCCAGATGTTTAGGTTTTAATTACCTTACTGTATATGGCACTTTCTAAATAAGCGTTTGATTATTGACTCTTTGCCTCTTCTCTTTATATCCAGGGCATGCTTAATTCCTCTTGTCATCTCCTCGGGAGAGGAAATATATATATATATATATTTCATGCAGGTGACTTTTGGGGACAGAAAAAAGGTATTGTTGATAGCAGCTGCCAACTTCTCTTAGGAAAAATATGGAATCATTGAATCAGAACCTAAAAGATGTCAGAGGTATTCAGATTCTGCTTTTTCATTTAACAGATAAGGCACCTGAGTCCTTAGAGTTTAGTGACTTGCCTGAGGTTACAGGCAACTGGTGAAAGAAGAGCTGAGATCATTAGACCTTTAACGTGAACCTCAAATGCCCTCTATTCCACAAAATGTAATCAATTCCATTAGTCAGATATTCTCACTCCCTCCAATTTTCCAGGCATCTACTTCTTGTTTCTAGCACTTTTCTCTCACTCCTGATGAGTCAGTTTTGACCCTGTCTAATGCTCCATTTAGAATGAGAGGCCCCAGAGGGGATAAAGCACCTTCTTCAGCTTCCTATGCTGTAACAGGCCAAGCATAGTGTCTGGGGGTATGGTAGGTCTCCAACACATGGCTGAGGATTTCACCTGAGCTTGGTTGAGTGTGGGGCTCCTAGGCTGGAAATTGAAAAGCAAAGTACATTGTAACACCAGCTTTGACTCATTTATTTTCTCTAATTATGAAATTAATTCTTTCAAGTGAATAAATAAGGATAGTAAAAATCCCTATAGATTTTAGTCATTTCTAGGCCAAAATGTATAATTTTATCTTTTCTAGCCAAAAGGAGCATGATTAATATTTAAAATGTCAGGACTTTGCATAGCACTCACTCGACATTATCTGGCGAGGCCAAGGGGAACCAGTGTATTGTATAATACATCAAAGGGGGTACATGACATTTCCCTTGGCAGATACTCCGCAGTTGCTCATTCCACCCTAACTCTTTCATCTGTCCCTT